GGAAATTTACTTTGCATATTTAGGTTCAAAAAAATTTACGTTTCGATTGGGTTAAATCAGGCTTATTAAGCGGTGGTTCGATTTCTGCCATGTTTATTTATTAGTCATCATAATAACGAGTGATTTCTACTTTGATTAGCCCTTTGAAATCCAATGTTTTAGAAGATTTATATTTGCATATGTGGGCGTACGTAGAAGAGCCTTTATTTTATTATTATTTATTATTATTACTGTTTTTTAATGAGTTAGAGGAATTTTATTAACGAAAAAAAAAAACAATCGAAATCATTAGCTGATATCACAAAAGTAAGCCATCATGACTTTTTGAGGACTACTTTATCTTTTAATGATTCAATTCAATCCACGAACATCTCCCTTGAAATTTTTATGTATGCAATAAGTTCTTTGTTTAAAAAAAAAAAAAAAAAAAAAAAAAAAAAAAAGCGGAGTGGCGCTCTTTTTTTTTAAAAAAAATAAAAAAGTACAAAATCTACCAAATACATATTCTCCATCCATTACATAATTTAATGCATGCACTCGTGGGCATGTGCGACTATATTTCATAGAAAGGACGAATTTTGTTTTCTTTCCCCGCATATTCTATCAATCCCCTACATTTGTTTTGGGCGAATAATAAATAAATTTCAATTATAATGAAATGAGAAGACGTAATGTTATGCGAGCTTTTTAAAAAAAAAAGGCATTTGAGTGAATGAATGATGCAAGGCGTTTTCCTCTTCCTTTCTATTCTTTTTTCCTTATTTATTATATTTGAAAAAATATTTATGATGAAAATTTTTATTTTTTTTATTTTTTTGTAATATACGAACACAACTAAATAGGAATTTGTATCACATCCCCTTTTTTATTGCATACATTTTTTGCATACATTACCAAAATAAATAATTTTATACCACATAGTCGGATCGTAAACTAACCCATTTTTTTTTGCTGTCAAAGATTTGATATGAAAAGGATTTTTTTTTTTTTTGACAGGAAAAAAACGTGCATGAAGGCTTTTTTTTTTTTTTTTTTACATAACCGCCGATTTTCCTTTTTTTTGAAAAAATAATATTACTCAGAGAAATCATTCCCGACTGTCAAATGTAATCATGAGAAGTATGATGACATAAAAAAGATTTTTTTAATTGCAAGGAACAATGTAAAGTGTGATCCCATTCTGAAAAATCAAAAAAGCATGGCATATGTACTATGATATATGTCATCACACATTTATACAATTTGATTATGTCAAGTAGATCAGCCTTGTTATCATTGTTCCTTTTGGATTATAAGTTGGATCAAATAGGGAGCTGTGAATTATGGTATCAAATGATTATTGGATAAGCGTGGCGACTAGTTTTAACGAGCCACACCTTTCTTTTCCCAGTTAATAAGTCGTAAATGGAATTATTCGCCTTTTAATCAAAAGAATGGAATTAAATTTTATTGGTAAATGATGAGGGATACCAATTGTCAATGATGGAATCAATTGTTAATGGTTGGGGAATACGAACAAATGGTCGTGGTTCAATGAATATATAAGGAAATAATTGACAAAGTGGGTAAAGATATTTATGGAGCCATGGGATTTCTCATATTTATGTGATTGGGGGTGTAACAAAAGCAAATGAGATCATAATCCTTTGCGATCTAGAATAAAAAAATGAATGAGGTGGTTTTTGAATGGATGTGAATTCCGAATACCTGGGCATTTTTACTTTAGCGTTGCTAGAATCGACATTATTATTAACTATGGTAAACTAATTACAGTAAATTCGGTATCAAATGGGAATTCAATATAAAGTATTGCGCCAACCGGTTATATGATTGTCTGGTTCCTTTTAGCGTGACGCTCATTAACCTAAAAAGTTCTCGATTGTTATTTACATACATGCAAGAGCAAGAAAAACTGCCGTAATGTTTCACCTTATGGTTTTATCAGATGACGAAGAATAAAGTGGACCATTTCATTGCCTGAAAAAATATTCGTCCAAGAAAATGATGTCGTATGTATGTACGTTTACGTGCATGCATGAATTATAAAGTCACTCTCTTCAAGAGTTTAAGCTCATTTTCATTTGTTACAAATACTTGATAAGATACAAGTTTCAAAAAATTTAAAAAAAGATCAAAGCGTTTATTTATTTATAAATAAGAACTCGATGATTTCAAATAAATTTTATGCATATCATGAGACCGTTCTCTGCCTGCATAGAAAATCAAACTCACGAAACGTTTTAATAAACGTTTTTCGTTTTCTCTTCAAAAAGTGTCAAAGTAAATTTCGGAATATCTGTTCCCTTTTGCTTCCTTTCGCTTTATTTGCTCTACTAATAATACTATTCATGATGCTTGAATGTTTGTTCTGTGTTCGAATGAGAAGGGCCCAGTTCCTTGACCTTGCCAAATTTGGCAATATGGCTAAATTGAATGTAAGGGATTAGTGTTACATTGGTGACAATGACCACTTTTTAGATTTTATTGAAACTTTAAAGAATGGTCTGTTCGCAAAATAAAAATCGTGTAAACCATATAATTTGGTGGTGTACGAAATAAAGAAAAAAAAAAAAAAAAAACTTTATTATTTATGAATGCACGGATGCTGCGGGAATATATCGTTAAAGGATTTATAATATGCCGAGTTATGTACTGATGTGAACTTAAATATTTTCTCACGAATTACGTGAAATCCAAAGGAACATTTCATTTAAACAAGAATGGAAATGAATTTCTGAATTCCTATGATTTATATAGTAACGTTTGTGTCATGATCAGTGACGGGAAAAAAAAACAAAAACTTGCGCGGGTAATTTAAGGTAACTTCTTACGGGTTCGATTACGCCGACTAAATTATATTTCCGTTCTGAATGTTGACCAATTTAGGAAAAAAAAAAGTGAGCTAACATCTCAATTTAATCATGGAAGAAACTGAAAAGATTATGAATTGCAAGTTAATAAAGGGTATATTGGCTTCTTTGAAGTTGCACCGAAATTTATTTTATTTGGTTTATTTGTTTTAATCGCCATATTACCTAACTCCATTAAGGTAATAATACATAACGTATGAAATGTTTAAAAAAGGTCTCATCTTTTTTTTCTGATTTTTATCAGATTTAAAACTTTTATTAAAAGCATTTCAGGCTAAAGCCTTTAATAAACCTTAAATCGAAAAAAGGAACCAAGAATTCGATGCTATTGGGGTTTTGAATAAAATTTGGAAATAATTATTTTTTTTAAAGCTTAAAGAATGTTTGGGAATTATTGTTTGGAAGCCACAGGCAAAAGATAAAAAAATTGTTTTTTTTTTTCATTCAGTAAATAAGCAAATAATGTGGGGTAAATACTCGCTTCTAAGCGAGATTAACTAGTTTGGTAAATAGGCGCTTTTTCATCATTTATTTAATTTTTTTTTTTATTATTTACTTTTTTTTTTTTTTCCTAGATTGATTATTATTCATTCAATTTTTACTTTTTCAATTTTTTTACCCACACTAGATTTGGATTTTAACCTAAAATGGACTTATATGAAACTCAACATCCCTGTTACCAAATAAACCACCAAGATTATCATGTTTGACCAATTAAATCAGCCGGGTGAAAAGACCGAGAGTGATGATTATTGATACCATAAATTTGGGAAATTTGGATTTGTGATCCGTAACCTCGGGAATTCCAGAAAATAGGATGTGGTCGTACCCCTTCTTTGTTTATCACAAGAAGCATATACAGCCACCTTCCCATTTCGTCTTCAAAAGTGTAAGGTGATGATAAAAGATAAATAATGAAACCAATCATATGATAATTTTAACTTCCCAATTCCTTTTTGGCGTAAAAAGATACGTAATTTAATTTACTTCACAATTTGTTGTTGACATCTTATTGTTAAGAAAAAAATTTTTTTTTTGTTCGAATTGGATAAGTTAAAAATTTGAAAAAAAAAATGTACGGAAGGAACGTTTCGAACAGAGTTTAATTTTTACCAAATTAAATTTCTTTTTTCCTTTATTTTTCTTTTTTTTTTTTTTTTCTCACAGTTTATTGAAAATAAACCCCACAAAATTTAATTAGAAAAAAAAATTATTTTTTTTTTTTTTTTTTTTAAAGAAAGAACTCACATTATGCATGAATGAAAAAAAAAAAAAAAATTTTTTTTCCGTTGGTTGTCAACTCCAACAAGTTTTTTTTTCCAAAAAAAAAAAAAAAATTTCACGATGATGATGTATTCATGTGTTTTATATGTTGGGTACATTAAGCTACGGATTAGTTAGATTTACAATAGGATAATATAATAGTAAAGTTCAAACAAGATGGTTGGTCCGTTATTTATACAAGTACTGTAAAAAAAAAATTTTTTATTCTTTGTAAATTATGGAAATTTTATATAAATTTCATTATTCTACACTAAATGCTAGTGTAACCTCCTCTTTACTCTTTTCATGTTCGGCTGTTCATATTTACGTTCATTATAAAAAAAAAAAAAATTTCAATAAACATAATATACATTTGCCCCTTTTATTTTATAATTATATTGTTTTGTCATAGGTAGTTTTATTATTTATATGTGTTTATCAATTTTTAAAATGTATATAAAGTCCATACGCTCCCCAAGAACTAATTTTAATAAGAAACAAAAAAACTTGTAAGTATCAAAAAAAAACAAGACTACTTTCATCAATTCTCTACAATCTTCCTTTATTCCCTCTCATCATCTCAACCTCGAAAAAAAAATCTTCTTTAGCTTTCTTTAGTTAGCTTTCATTTCTCAACTTTTTTTTTTTGTGCTTTTTAACAATCTTTTTTTGTAACGGTTCATACCTTTGAAAATTTATAGTATATCCTCGAGAGATATATCAAATAGTAAAATCGTAATCACATCTTATTTTGAACACCTTATTTTATAATAATCGATTAATAAAGCAATCTAAACCAAGTTTTACTTCCAACGTTTTTGCAATTTACTCTTTACAACCTTCTATTAAAAAAATACAACACAAGAAATGGAACAAGCAAAGAGTACACAGAAATCCACAAAGAAGTTTTTCAATAAAATCTTCCACTCGAATAATAACAGCAAGAAGAGTTCCTCATCCGTATCACCTCAAAACAGTGCTTTTGACGCATTTGAAATTACTCCCCGAACGATCAAAAATCGTCGCTCAAATGAAGAAGTGTTTCCTAGCAATTCTCAACAACAGTCTTCTTCCTCTATAGTTCGATCAAATTCTATACAAAGAAGATATTCTTTCTCAAATGTTCATGAAACAGGTCAACGAAGATTATTGGCCGCCAAGCGCGCAGAATACCAAGAGAAGATGCAAGCATTTGACGACTTAATTAGCAAACGAAGAGGTAGCACATTGCGGATGGCTTTGGCTCCAGATGTTACGAGTTATTAAGAATCTTCAGTTTTAAATGGACATTATTTTCTTGCATTGCATTTTCTCATCACATCAACCCTCATCATCACTCACCATAATCATACCAAAATTCTTTGTGGGAAATGTTATTTCCTTTTTAATAAAAAAAAAAAAATTTACTATTCGTTGTTGTTAATATCAAATCAAATTAGAAAAAATCTTTTTCTCATTCATCTTAATTTCCGAAATTCCTAATTCTTTAATTACCGCGTTCTCTTTATCACAAGAGAAAGATGGCGAAGGACCGGATTCTCCGCCTTCAAAGTTTTCTCAATTGACTTTAAACCATTTTGAATTCTCTTTTTAAATTTAAAAATTCCCTAATTCTATGTTTTATTCTATGCAAAAAAAAACGAGCAAAGATATTTTTTTTTAAAAAAAAAAAAAAAAAAAAAAAAAAATTCCAAAAAAAAAAAAAAAAAACTATAAAAACGATATATGCAAATTGATTATATTAATTCCCTATGCAAGATTTTTTTCCTTTTGGAAAAAAAAAATTTTTTTACCCTAACAAACCTAAGATAACTTTAAAGTGGACAAAAAAGAAAAAAAAAAATTTTAAAAACCTAACCACAAAAATTGTTCTCCTATTTTTCATTACGATATCTTTAAACAAAAACAAAAACAAGAAGAAAAAAAATTTATATATATGTTACAGTTTGGGGCGAGAAAAAATCAATACTATTATTATTACTGTACTGCGTGAGTTATTCCCTTGAGAAATTTCTCGAAAAAAAATTTATTTTCCGCTTATATTATTATATTTTAATCAAAAATTTTATATATATATATATATTATTATTATTTTATTATATTCTATTCTATTATTTTATTTTATTTTACTTATTATTATATTTACTTAGTATTAATATTTTATTTCTCTGACGTTTTTATTATTATTATCCCTTTTTTTTTTTTTTTTTTTCTAATTCTTTTGTTGTTATCGTTAGTTATTATTTGAAATAATAATTTTGTATAAATCAAAGTTTCTATATAATATCAAGATCACTTTAATTATAAATAAATGAAATAGTGCGTGTAACAAAAAAAAATGTATGCGATCTTTTATAAATGTCTTTTTGTAATAAGTCCCTAACGCGATAAAATTGAGCTATCTAAAAATAAACGTATTTATCATTGAAAATTTGTTTTCGGAAACTCATTCAAAGAAGTAATTACGTCGTTAGCCCCTTGGCAAATTGTCAAGACATTTCTTTTAACTCATTTCGCTCTCGAAAGAAATCATTTTTGTTTATTTACGTGTCATGTTTTACAAGTGAAAGGTCGGTCGTCTGCATGACCTGTTCGGAACCGGATTTTAATATATATTTGGGGTTTTATTTATAGATTCATAGATTCATCAATCATTCGCGTTCTAACCTTGTTTTTTCTTTTAGAAGGTAAAATCTAGAAACATCGCATTTATGTGATACGGCACGTTACAAAAGAAAAAGGTCGCATTCCGTTCGTTCCCGAATCATTTCATTCGCGACTCAGCGGGCCCGATACAATTCTTTTGATCCATTCTTTTATTACTTGATTTAAGATTTTCATTTTCGGAGGAAACTCCTGAAAAAAAGTTCACAATTTATTACCTAATATATATTCCGAAATCAGGTTTATTCAAAATTGATCCTTCACATCTACTTTTTGACAGACATGAATGAATCATCTGATCAAGATGAAATAAATGTATATCAATTCGTTTTTCCAAACATTTTTGTAAGAATTTTGGATTCCGAGAAGAAATGTATTCATCTTATATTTGGTTATCCAATCAAAATGTTATGTGTTATGCTGTGACTATCAATAAAAAAAAAAAAAAAAAGAAAAAACAATCTTATGCCCCCTAACATCTTTTATTGTCTTACCCATATTATTTTTAGATCATGAGAAAATTGTTTCGTGACAATATCAAAAGAAAAATAAATTGTATCGAAAGCTCACCTTACTAAAAATAGATTATTTATGATTTTAACCCTCGCTCTTTTCTTTTTGCGATATAAATAAAGTAAATAAAAATTTCCGATTTCTTGTGAATAAAGATTCGTTACACGCATGATATTTTGCTTTTGCTATGCCTCGAACTTTTTTTTTTTTTTTTTTTGTGTTGTTGTTGCCAACTAACAAATTTAAAATTATAACACATTGCATTACATAATTTTACTATTTTCTTCCTCATTCAGATTGACCAAAATATTTTCCATTGATTACATTTTTACGCATTATCTTCAAACCTTCTTTTTTCCCCCTTATCGTGCATTAATTAAAAAAAAATTAAAAAAAAAAATTTTTTTTTTTTCCACTTTAAACTTCCATTGAAAATCATTAAAGTAATTGTATCATTGTTTTTTTTTGTTATCATTATATTATGATTACTATTAAGAAAAAAAAAAAAAAAATTTTTTTAATATACTTAACACCATTTATGACCCGAAACAATTTTTTTTTCTATAATGGAAAAGCCCTGATTGGCGTTTAATCAATTATTGCCATTTTAGAAGGAGTAAATTAATTTTACAAAAACTCGTATTATATCTTGAATCTCTTGGCGTAAACTGGGGGAAATGCCCCAGCGAAACCTTTTCGAATCATTTGAATGGTCAAATTAGGTTATAATAAATCCTGTCTGAATAACAGGAGGTCAGTGTACGAAAAAAAATAAAGAGAGTAAAAGAGTGAGAGAGAAAGTAAGGGGCAATTTTTTAAAACCTGCTACAAAGTAAATCTTTGCGTTATGCAAATCAATCAATAAGGTTTTCAAATGAATCATCTATCAAAAGCTTTTATTTACATTTTTTAATTTGGAATCTTTTGTAGTCATTACATGAAAATTGTTAGTCAAAAACTTTTTTAAAGTAAATAAATTAATCTGGTTTTGCTTTGCCTTTGTAATATGCATTCTTGCTCGTATGAATGACCGTGCGAGGTCATGTTACGTCTAACTCGGTGATTGATCCTACCCTTTTTCGTTAATTAAAGTTTTTTCTTGTATTCTCAAGGAGAGGTCACTGTTTCAAACATGATATTATACTTATTACCTTTTGATGTTTATTTAGTAAGGGGCAACGATTGAATAATGAAAAAAAAAATTTTAAATTTGACCTCGAAGGTTACTGCGTCACACGTTACACGAGACGTAAATTTACCTTGATGTTAAAAAATCTTTTTATATTTTATTGGGTATCATTGCCAGATTTGTCGATTTTTTTTTTTTTTAAAAAAAAAAAAAAAAAAATTAATGAAATGTATGTAATTTGTGTATTCCATGCCATTTTATGCGGGGTACCATTATTTATCACGCCTCCGTTTTTTCACTTTTTGACCACTCAAAAACTTGTCTACATAACACCCGATCGGCATAAAACGGCGTGGTGCGTTGGATTTTTATCTCTGACATGAGTCGAATCTTATCCAATAATTGCTTTGCAATGAACTTCTTTCCCCGCAAATTCTTCTTTTTTTTTTTATTAGTTTAATTTACCCAAATTTGATTAATTTGATTCAACCCAACCGAATGTAGTTGATTTTTTTGAACGTAACATCAAAGTTAAAAGTGATGTTTACCCTTTTAAAAGGAACGATACGATATACATCTTGGATCGTTGCCTTTTAACTATTTTTAACGCAAAAAAAATGCAAAACGAAAAATTCAAATCAAAATGCGCCATTCATTACATTCATCATGTAATAAAAGTCAAATGAAGAAAATCATCCGGATGAGGAAAATTTTAAAAAGAATTGTTGAGAAGCGGAAACCAAACTGTTTGAGACGGGGTCGGTAATGTTACGTCATCCAGGTCCCATCGCCACATGAATCATAGCACCTCATTATTTGTTGAACGCCATAACTTTTTTTTTTTGTTCATGTATGCATAGTTTATTAGAAAGAAATCTTATTCCACGATTCTTCATTGCTTCCCTGCCGAAAAAAAAAAACTTTCTTTAATAATTGGGTGTCAATGTAACGGTTCCTCGCAATCGATTAAGCGTAATTGGTAATTCCCGTTTAAGCTTATTATCGAGAATGATTAGAAAAATTCAACTCATCCCGATTTGTCCTATAAAAGAAATCTGTGTGAAAATCTCGTATGACTATTGACATCACAAATATGTCATTATAAAGGTCTAATGTTTATTCTAGGATAGTATTTCACAAAACTAATAATTGCTGATAAAACATAAAACAATAAGTTCCAATATATGCGTGTTCATATCATAAAGAATAAATAAAACATATTCTCTGTTTGTTTTGTTTTTGCAAAAAAACATGCGTTTCTACGGAAAAAAAAATTCGGGTGTTGGTTTGATAGAACAACCCGTATGTGTGCCACACATGTAAGTAGCTTCTTTCGGGAAGCCGTTCCTTTTGTTTTTCAACACGCCATTTTAACAACCTCTCGGCCCTAGACCGGAATAAGTGTGGCACCGATCGTAAAATGACCATTTTTTATTGTTTTCTAATTTTGATTGAGGTTTGACGAAATCTATTTATTCTATGGTCAGGATTAAGAGTTCATTCATGTAGATTTATTTATGCGGCTTAATGACTGTGTTTCATTGATTCATATGAAACAAAATAAAAAGAAATCTCTTTCTTTTTAAGTACATTCTTTCTAATAAGGGGAATTCCTTATTTCTTTCTAGACAAATCGGGAAAGTTTTCAAAAGATCACAAGGCGTCATTCGTATATCATGCTTTTAGACTTTAGGGTTTGCTTACTTTAGGTTCGTTCAAGAGCAATATTTAATGGACGTGGCACTTTTGGCATGACAAAACTCTCCAATGCTGTTACATGCAATAATCTGGCACAAGTCAACAATGATTTAGTAACGCCAACAGTGAGTTATCAAGTTTTTCATGGATCCTATATCTGAATTATATCACATTCTTCTCGATTGATAATGATAACTGGGTGGAATGTTTGTTGTTGACCAGAAAATAAGTTTACAACACTTTGGGACCCAAACTTTTTAACAATGGATTTGACCTTTTTGGTAGATAATCAAGGAAAAAATCAATGATAATATGAGGATATTTGACAATTGAAAGGGGTAAATAAAACGCTAAATCATCATTTGAGGCGTATAAAAGTAAATCGGCTTTTCCGGCAGTTTCCGTTCCTTCTATTGCAAATGTCCTTTTTTTATTATTATTATTATATTATTTATTCCATTGGCGGTTTTTTACGATTAAAATGAAATCGAAACTCCATGTCGTACAATCACAATTCAAAGAGGAAAAAAGAAATTTTTTTTCCTACACGCCAAACAAAAAAAAAGATTTTTTTCTCCTACACGCCAAATTGAAAAAAAAAAAAATTTTTTCTTTCTTTCTTAATCGACATGCGTCTACTTTGCTTAACATTACATGATTAGGTGTACATATGAATACATGAGATAATAAATGACAGAACCAACACCATTATTCGCGAGATGCTGCGGAGTGTTATGGAAGATTAATTTAGGGTTTCCCCACATTGTTTATTGTTTACAGGTTTCCTTTCTGTTGACACACAAACATTAATGTATGGAATATAAATAAATTATATAATTCTCAAAAAAAAGCTGTAATTACTTGACTCATTCAAGATTCCTTTCTATTTTCTGGTGAATGGAAAAAGGGAAGGATCGACTACAAATAACCAGCCAGATTCTTTTTTTTTTTTTTTTTTTTTTTTTTTTTTTTATTTATTGTTATTATCATTCGTACGACGCAAGCAAATTATAATGTCTTTATGCATTGAAATTAGAAGGATGGCGCGTGAAAATTTATTTATCAAACATCTATTTTTCTTTTTTTTTCATTATTGTTCTTTGAAAGATTGTGGGGCTTTGCATTAATTTGCTTATCTTTTTTTTTTTTTTTTTTCCTCAAATGAAAAACCTGTTATCTCCACTCATTATACATACATTATTTGTTATTTATTTATTTTTTTTCTTTCTTCAATTGAAAAACCTGTTTCTCTCCAAACATTCGTTACAGATGAACTATTCTATGATAATATTCGGCATCTTACGAGTGTATAACTAAAAAAGAAGTTAGATTAAAAAGATTTGAGTTTTTAATATTAAATGTTTGAATGTAAATATTTGTTGTTACTTTAGATTAAAAAAGAAAAAAATATAGATTTATCATGTGAATGAAAGAGAAATCACCTGTCCTTTGGTATTCAAATAAATCATCACTTAACCAATATATTCGTTTCATTATGAAATGAAATTTGATTGATGTAAATTCTTTTGCCAGATTACCTTCTTGCGCTTACCGAGATTACCGAGAAAAAAAAAAACTTTTTTTCCAATAACCTGACTTTGTTTGTGGGGTAATTGAAAATATTTTTTTTTCCACGAACCAATCAGCGTGCATTAATGCGTATGGACCCTGTTTATTTTATTTATTTTTTTTTTTTTTTACATTGTTTACTTGTTCTAGTTCATCATAAAATCCGTTTCATTGACAAAATCGATCTTTACCATATCTTACACTACGATAAATCATTTTAGGAAAAAAAAAAAAAAAAGAGAGTTATTTTCCTTATCGAGTTAATATTTGAGGCGGGAAACGGCTAAATCAAAACTGGATACATTTTTCAGCCAAGAACGAATTTAATTATCAAATTTTTTTTTTTTCTTTGGACAAGTTTTAATAAAGATATCATTATGACAAACAAATAAAGAAAATTAATTAAAATTGTGTTTGATATTTTGTCCGCCTGTAAAATTTTATATTAGAAGAAGTGAAAAAAAGTTTTTCATTTGCGCAATGGCATGTGATATTGAAAGGTATCCGTTTTTCAAATTTCAATCTTGCGCCTCGTTACTTCATGTTACTAGCCACGATGGTTTCAATTGGTTCGGGGATTGCAATACAAGAATTGGAGGTCCCACAATTGGACGTGTATTACGTTGACCGGGGAAATGAGTAACGACCAATCTCCATAAACAAAAACACGAAAGGAATAACACACCGATGCACCAATGAATTCAATTAATAAATCTTTTTCGAACGTGATTGTATCAATTACTATTGTCAAATTTCCTTTATTTTATTGTTTTTGTTAAAGCAAAGATTATTATTATTTTTCTTTTTGTTTCAGGTTTGTTTATTTGTGAAATTATTTTTGAGATTCATGACGTTTTTGAAAGTCATTGTTGTCAGTGTTTTTCTATAAATAAATCATTCGGAATACCAACTTCAAATGACTCATATCGAAAGATATTCGATCCTTATTAAGTACTTTCCGTATATTAAAACCTTACGATTCAGATAAATTTTTCAAATTCTTCAAATCTGGTTTATCGCGCTTATCTTGTAATGTCACAAGGTCTCATTTTGGCAATGAAAAGAAAAAGAAAAGGTTCAACTCAATTGGGGTAGAAGAGAAATTTTTAATGAGGTCATAATGTTTTTTTTTAAAAGAGCATCATCTATTTTCATATCATATCGGATAATTTTTCATGAAAAGGAAAAAAGTAAAAAGGGGTTGGCTTATTTCTTTGGCAAACAAATGTTGTGATGAGCCGAAGGTGTGACGAATAATTCACTATTTTAAATTGATAAATAGATGATCTAAAGTTTCATTCTTTTAAATTACTTAAATTACCTAAGCGATTCATCCACTGGTGTAATTGTATACACGATTACAATGTTATCAACATGATCAAACACGTGTATAAATCTTTGGGAGGTCCATTGGAACCTCAAATTTGCTCAAAAAAAAAAAAATCGATCATCAAATGATTTCATATATGGTTCACGGTTGGCATTACTGCGAAACAAACACGTCAATGCTGTCAACCTGTCATTTTGAGCCGTAGCAAAATGTCTTATCACGAATGACATTGGTCAGTCAATATCGCAAATAGTTTTCATCTGAGCAAAATTTCAGAAATAACATGTTATAAAGTATCATTATTCTCTTGGAAAGTCCCAATTACTGAATAATACTTTATATAATATATAAATGTAATTGCTTTACAAGCGATGGATTAATCGGTCCCGCCATTAACGGTAGTGGTGCTTTCAAAGTTTGGTCGGCTAATAAATTAACCGACTCGGATGATCCGTATACGATTGATTAATCGATTAATCGGATTATCCGAATTCTCCGATTCATGCAGTTTAAATGATATTAATTTTTTTTTTTTTGTTTGGGCATATAAATTCTATACATATTTTAAATAAAGTCCCATCGGAAATAATATATAATCCTAATGGTTTATTATTTGGGATCGATTAGTCATCACATGAGTTCGATAGATTATGTATTAAATTTTTTTTTTTCTTTCTCGATGTGGTACTGTTATAAAGTTTATTAAATTTTTTAATAATATTATTTATATGAGTTTGTATAATTTTAAACTTTATTCAATAATTTTATTAATATTATGTCGTGTTTTGAAGTTATTATATATTGTTGTATGCATTTACTTTTCTATCTTCTACGCGTTAAGTAATTCTTGCCAGTAATATAATTTAATTCCGGCCTCTACATCAAATTTTTTATTTGTAATTAATTATACGATTGACTTAAAAACCCAACATGATGTAATTGCTACAGCATGTAACTCTCAGAGAACACCATAAAACAACAGCACAAAAACATTTAAGAGGTTTTTTAATTTTAATTTAGGAGATCCCACCCGAGGATTAATCATCTCCGTAGCACAAATAATGCTCGTATTATTGGTTCAGGGCTGATGTTTTATTACATTGGTTTTGTAAATGACGGGTAATCATTACACAAGGAACAAATGAACCAAAACCTTTAATCGGGAAATCTATTTAGCATAAGAAAAAAATCCTCCGCCTTACAGGTCAACAAACACATAAAATGCGATTAATCATCAATAGTCTTTAAGTAATGGTCGGCTTTTTTGATAATATTTCTCCATTTGTGCTTGAGAGAACTCAGTGTATTCAAAGTTTCACCTTTTAAACGAATTATGTGAATAGTTTATTAATTAACCTTGATACATTAAAGATTCTCTTTGATCTTTTAATCTTTAGGTGTAAATATTAAGACGTACATGCATATTTTTTTCAAATAATTCCAAATAAGAATTCTTGAGATGCGAATCTCGGAATTTTTTTTAAGGATTACCCCATACCGTTGTTTATGACTCGGTTTTTCCTGCAAAACCTTTGCAATGAATGAACATCAGGTCATTCATACGCCATAAACCTTTCCTTTTTTTAAAAAAAAAGTTAATAAAGAAAAATTAAAAAAAAAAAAAAAAAAGACCAAACAAGCTATATGGCCATCCTAATAAAGTAATTGTAAAACTTGCGGCAGAACTTTTGCATGTTCAATACTTTTAAATCATTCATGGGTTATTTAAAGTTCATTGAGAGAGAATTAATTCAACAATAAGCCAAATAACTCGATTAGTAATGGAAAGAATTTGCCTATGAAAAATACGACATTAGGGGGTGAGAAAAGATGGCTTGTTCTCGCGTGATGTCAGTGATAAAGTTTAGGTGCGATTATTATTAGCAAAAGATGAAGGAAAGCGAATGCAGGGGGATACATTAATCGTGATTATTGTAAATTCCTACTTTGTAATTAATAATTCCCCCAATTTCCTGGTTTAAATGATCAACTAGAAAACAAGGTAAATATGTATAAATTAGAGAGAGCACACTATCATTTCGAAAAAGGAACTTCATTGTTGATAATCAAATGTAACATTACAAAAAGGGAATAAACAAACGATCTTTAACGTTTAATAACTAAAAGGAAAAGAAAAAAAAAGAAAGAAAGAAAGAAAGAAATTATGCTTATTGGGTATCAAAAAAAAAAAAAAGATTCCTTTAAAAGCATTTATTGTTAAATGGATTTCTTTATTAAGAGGATAATAATGAATTCAAACAATGTAATTGTAAAGTTATCATCAAATTTCCCATAATGCATGCATAAATTACTGTGCTTCATTTCCATTGTTTAAACGAAATTACATGCAGTTTGATGTTCTACAAAACCTTCGTACTCAAAACACCATCATTCATTTCTTTCTACTTTGAATCATTCTTATTATTCTACCTTTTTTTTTTTTCCTTTCTAAACTAAGTTTCATAGTCAAAGCACGTAAAACGTTACAACTGGTGAAAATTCGGATAACTCCATTGAGCATGAATGATGATAGGATGTTAAGATGTCCCGGATTTTACGAAGATGTGGCAAATTGGATACATGTAAGTAAATAAATTTGCATACATTTCAATGAGCGAATAGGATGAAATTTGGAAACAACCTTACATTTTCCGAGGAAACCAATTAAAAGAACGAATCGTTTATTTTCTTTGTCTTGTATAAAGACTGATGAATCCTATTATTTAGTTTTCATGTATCATGCAAGATTCAAACATCTTTTTATACAACAAATAAAGGACTATTATGCATTACTTCGCTGAGTTAAAGAAGTTAATAGGGCATACGAACAGCAATCTCTTTGTTTGTTAGAGAACGTATATATTCCGACAGATTTATTTTAGAATATCTGCGCGAGCCATACGTAAGAAAAGCGTCGGATCGATCGGAAATATCCCGGAAATTTGCAACAACTCGAAGCTTTGCAGGTTTTGGTTTTTCAGATATTTCTCGGATGATCGGGTGAACAACTCATTCATGCGTGTTAATCAAACGGTCACAAACATGTGCCAGTAATCACACCTTCAAATCACTTTAAAATGAGTCAAAATAATTCATAACAATTCTCATTCTAGAACCAAGTCATTTCCTGCATATGGAATCTTTGCAATAGAAAGGCCGAGAAAAATAAAAAATGAGTTAATGCTAAATCGACCATACCTCAACCTGAAAATCATATTTTGCATTTTTAAAAAGTAAAATTGATTTGTTTTTATTGCAAAGGTCCCATATAATAAAGCATCGTTTTGTAATATTACTAATTATCCAATAAAGGAATATATTGGCAATAACATCTTTTTATGGTTTGGTTGGGACGCGTCAAATGAAGTTTCATAGTAAATAACAAATCACGAAAAGTATTCTTGTGATATCTTTATGTTAAACCAATATCCAATTTTAAAGGATTTATTAAAACGAGATGTACAGTATAACCCGGCGAACTTTAGAATAGATTTACGTTTTGGAATTCAACCTTTTTTATAAAGATTTTGACGATAGACGTGTTTATCTACATTTTAAGTTTAAAGATCAAATGATCCAAACACCTTTATATCAATTATTTTTGTTGCATTAGCATGGAATTTTGCAACTTTTATGAATCCAAGCTTGCCGAAGAATTCGGACTTTTTTTAAGTTTTCCTTTTTTTATCAACTTTATATAATATTATTATTTTTTATTTATCTCTTATTTTTGAGCTTAATTCCTCTCATTTTTTTCATAAATCTTTAAAATTTGACAACTGATACTTTTTATATTTTTAAGTAATGCTATAATAAAAGTACATGCTTGCCTTTTTACATAGAAACAAAAAAAAAAGATGTTTTTCCTTTTCTCATGTAAATGTCAAGTGTCACAAATTCCTTTACAAGGTAAAAATTTAATAGAAGTAAGAAGTATATCATTAACTACTGATATGTAAAATGGGCAAGGATATATTGGTATAACTTGTTCTTATATTGATTCAAAATTATCTTAATGAATTACTTTATCTATTGATTATGTTTGATACCCTCATCATGATGTCAACATATTGCTATAAGTTTAGAAGAAATACTTGTAAAATGAAGTATATTTAAAAAAGTTTTTTTATTATTACTACTAATAATAGACCAAATATGAAAAAGGCAATTTTAAATATAAATGCAATTAAATAGTAAAGATGTAATACATGTATTCTTCAACTTATAATTGAAAAGGTTTAGTTCCTGTAAAAGTATTAATTATATAAATAAAATGATTAAATGAATTTTTTACACATTTTAACAATCAAAACGTTTAGATGATGTTTAAAAAAATATTCAACCACAAATATATTAGATAGTTTAGAAATTGAAATAGAAAAAATAAATATTATTAGATTTATTTTAAAAATTTTTTTAAAAATTTTAATTTATAAGTTAAGTTAAATTTAAAATTTACAGAGAGTCTTCAAAAGTTTACACATACTTTTTTTGTATGAATTTTAATAATATTTTTATTAAGTAAGCAAATGATCATCAAATAATAAATATTATTTCTAGAATAGTAAATTAAACTTTGTACTAAGCTGTTTATTATTTGATCAGGCCACCATTTTCATCTAAATATATCACCAACATCATAAATATAATAAATATTGCAAACTTCGCAAAAATCATAAACCTTGCACAATTTGTTTTATACATTCATAATTTGAGACGACTGTGTGAATTTTCTCACATTAATTAAAAAAGAATAAATAAACCAAAAAAAAAACAAAAAAAATTTTTTAACCTTACCTTAAAAAAATAGGTAAAGGAAAAGATCTTACTGAGTCCCAAAAAGACACTATTCTTTATGGACATCAACTTGACCATTCATGCAGAAAAATTGCAGAAACTGTAAAATGTGGACCCTCTGTAGTTTCAGCTTGTATAAGAAGGTATAAAACCACTGGGTCTACTGATACAAAGTCACATTCAGGGTGACCGTGCTTTTTCATAACTCCAAATCGTAACTAACTTAAACGATTAGTTACAAAGAAAAAAAATCATCACAAATGTACCCTTGAAGTGCAAACTCTTTGAAAAAAGAAGTCAGGCAGAATGCTTCTACTTCTACCATTCATCAAACACTTCATATTATTAGATTAAATAATTGTGCAGCTAGGCGAAAACCATTCGTTTCACCTAAAAACATAGTGAAGTGACTTGCATAGGCACAAGAGCATGCATACTGGACTGTGCAAGACTGGAAAAAGGTTCTTTGGACTGATGAATCAACCTTTTCTCAGTTTCAACAATCACTACTAGCTAGGTTTGGCGAGAATTATCTGAAAAATAGTTACCTACTTGTGTTTCAGCGACAGTGAAATACAGTTCAAGTCAGATGTTCTGAAAATGTTTTTTTGCACAAGGATTAGGGCTAATTGTTCCTTTAGTTAGTTCTATAAATAGTGCAGTACATCTTGA